TAAGCTCTACCTCCTTGTGGTAGGAATGCCACTATGGCTGTACATTCCCCGATGAATTGTCTGTTCTTGACTACCGTAACAGGTTCTTGGTTACTCTTTGATCATTTTACAAAAATAGCTCACTTTTACTATATTTTTCCTTTGCATGAAATCGTCTGTAGTTCTTTGTTCATATTAGTCCTTGATCTTCTAACAGTTCCTAAACTGGTCATCTTATTTATGTCAGTCCATTCAAAGTTCAGATACAGAATCTAATGCTTAAAGAGATCAAAGGGTCTTGCTCAAGTGGTTTTGATAGTTCAACAGTTATGAATTGCTGCCAGTCTCATCACTCCAAGCACAATGAGGTCGTTGAAGAATCCACTGATTGACATGGTCCATCTTAGATTCTCCGTTTGCCCAGTTTTTCACTGCCAACATATAGCTGAGGTGGTTGATTGACTTGTTCTGTCCTGTTTCTTTTCATGGTTAGGGTTCTGAGTCTGGCAGTTTGATTGGGGAGATCCCCAAAGAAACTTTGTCTGAGGTGTTCCCAGACTAGATTTTTGTATGTACTAGCAAGAACCAGGCCTGGCACAGTCCATCGCCCCAATCAGCTGGTGGTTGCAGTTTCCATCCCTGTCTTCCACTGGAACCAATGGGTGTTGCAGTCCAGCCTCGTTCTGCCCAGCACACACTTGGCCCTCACATAAACCTGTGGGAGTTGCAGCCTAGTTGGAGCGACCCACAATACCCCTACCAGGCCTGCCATCTACCCTGATTTGTCAGTATGTGCAGCAGACTAGTCTAGCCTGTCCCACATCCCGTTTGGCTCTCATACATGTCAATGGGTATTAAAGCTTAGTTCCATGTAACGAGCTCAACTATCCAGCCCACACGGATGTTGTTGGGTGCCTCTCTGTCTAGCCACCCCAGCCCCTGTCCTAGTTTTCCATCCCTGTCTTAACCCAAGAGGGAGGAGACCACTATTTCCCTCCCAGGTCACTCCCACTCCTGGATTATGCACTCTACAGGTAGTTCTGTGGTTTAACTTGACAGAATTAGCCCCCAGTGCCAGCTTCTGCCAGGTGATGCTGCAACTAAGCTCAGCCAACCATCTCCCACTCTAATTTTAGTTTACACCAATAGGAACAATCAGCCCAGCATGGCTTTTCCCTGATCTAGACCACATGAGGCCCACAGGTGTCGTAGCCCTTCTTAGTCTGGTCTGCTCCCATCCCAGCTCCCGCTCTCTAGTGGGAGTAGCAGTCCAGCAGGGGAAACCCCCTCATACTCTCCCTGCTGGGTCCATCCCCTGCATTCCTGGTTCTCACGCGTGCTGGTTTGGTGCTGTGGTCACATCTGGTATAGGCAACCTCGCCTTGGCATTCCATGTTGTGCACTGCACACCCTGTTTTTTTTTAATGCGTGAAATAGTTGGGGCTGCGCCACTCAGAAGGCAAAAGCCAGGCACTCGATCTCGGTCTCCTGCATGGGGTCCCTATCAGCAGGAGGTTGTGCTGGGAACAAAGGCAGGACCCAAAACTAGGTACTAAAATATGATATCCCAACCAGGAGCTTAACTGTAGTACCACAGTGCCTGCTGGTGGTTTATGCTTTTGAAGAGGGAACAGTTTGCTATTAGTTAATACTTTTTAAAGGAATAAAATGTGTATTTATGAGACAAGGTCCATCGGGGATCCCTCCTAAAGGGATATATTATAATACTGAGGAAAGGATTAATTTTCAAATCTTAGCTGTCACCTCCAGCAAAAGAAATTGTGATCCCAATCTTGCCTACATAGCAATGAAACCTCACTGAGCCAGTTATAGCAGTGAAATGGCAAAAGAGACACATACGAATTTGAATTACTCCTTATGTAGCAATCTCACAGACAAATGGGCTTATACCTTTTAATTTCTTTAATGTTCACTCACTTTGGCATCATTTCAATGCCTGCTGGCACCAACTTCCCAGTCCTCCCTCTAATGTTATGCTTTTTGTTCAAATACTTGGTACCCCATTTCTGATTCGTGTTATTTAACCCATTTTTGGCACACTTTTATGATTTATACACATTGTCTCTGCATCAGACCATACTCTAACAGTAAGACTGATGACATATTCAGAGATTCGTTCTCACATACATATCGCTAACGATGAGCAGTAGAGACCTTATATGTTTAACAAGTGTGTGAATGAATGAATAAATGGAATCATGGATCTGAATATTCTGTGAAGATACACAGTCAATTGAGTCAGCTACAAAAAGAAAACCCTGGTTTTATCCAGATAGCCAGACCATATATTTGATGTGTGCACATTCACACAAACTCTTGATGTTTTCTTCCAGGATTTTGGTCAGTTACTAATGAGCCTTTTTGAGGTGAGGGGATAGATTTTCTTCCACATGCTTTTTAATATCCTTGTATTGCAAAAATGAGGGTAATTCTTGAATTTTTAGTTTACTATGACTTCAAAATTGCCAGTAGTCTTTGAATAGTTCAATTTCCATAACCTCTCCACAATAATGCAGTCAGATATGAAACAGAATCATTACAATTTTAATAAGGAAAATGAGACAGAGAAGCTAATGACTTCCTGGCCACCAGGCTAATGAACAAAGGGATTAGGAATGACCTTCGGTCTCTGCTTTAGTTTTAACCACCATGTTACATTATCTCCACCTAACAGTGAGATATGTGGTTTTTTATTTTTTGGGAACTATTTGGGTAAATGAATATTGATCAGTAGAAAATTATCCAAGCATGTGTGTTTGAGTATTTTTTTAAAAAATGTTTTCTCTTTCCTTACATGTATACATGTATAACCATAGATCTATATAAACAGACAGGGGTGCTTCACAAAGTTCTTACTCATTGGAATTAAGTTTATTTTGGTGCAAAAAAACCCCACTATTTTAAAAAATCCCTTATGTGTCTGGATTTCATAGGTTTTATTTTCCCCTTTGGAACCAAACTATTTGAAGTATCCTAGATACATCAATTTGTATCTTTTAAAACTTTATTGGCCTCTCAGTCATGATATCATCTTATCTTAATTAAGTCCTTAGAGTTTAAGTGTTATGTGTGGCTTTCTTAGCAGGATACCCTAGTGTGAATGAGTTTTGCTTCTGCCCTTCCAGAAATTCCACTCTTCTTCCAGTAGCTTTTTAATTAAGAAGCTAGGAAGTACTGAACATGCTGCTGCATCCCCAATTCAGTTCTGAAATCTCCAGCATTTACTTGAAGGAAATGTATTGGCTCACCAGGAAGGGATGGAAGTCTTTGTCCCCTACAATGGAAGTCACATTTTCTGAATTAGCATTTTTGCATTATTTTACCCTATTAATATCTTTCATTTCTCACAGCAGCTCTTTAAACTCCGTATTTTCATTCCCTTTCACCAGCTGAGGAAACTAGCTCAGCAGGGTAACGATAGCTATTAAGTGACAGAGCCACAATAGTCGGAGAAGCAATTGGACCCGGGTTGCAATGATTCCACAGTGTAATTTTTTTCCACTACTGTAAACACAGTAAAATTATGATTATGAAAAAGCATTTGGGGGGAAACTGTACTACAATTTTAGCTGGTTAACAAATTAATTAAAATCATAGAGCTAGAAGGAATTCTAGTGATGTCGTCCAACAATTTTATTATAGATAGGGAGAAATGGATGCCCAGAAGCATGGTGATGTGTTTCACATACAGACTTGAGTGCATGTCCAGTGATCTTCCCACCAGAATCCACTGCCAGTCCCAAAGCTGCCTAAGTTGATTTAGCCAGTGTTCCATGAATATTAATAACACTGATAAGATAGAGCATAGATCTGGAGTCTTGTACATATTTTTGTTAAGCTCCTTTCTACTTGACAACTGGCTTACTTGTAAAATTCATCCAGGCATCTGCTGTTTCATATCTGTAATTAGTTTGGCTATCCCTTGAGGGGCTACATATCCTGAGTGTAAATCAGCACCCGAATCAGGTGCAGGCTAGAGACCCGAGGCTCACATTAGGCCCTGCTCTCCAGTTCCCTCCTACAGAGCTCGGTAACACTTCACTTTTAAGAGGTTATTAATTAGTGCTAGATTACAAGTGCAACTACTTAAGCATTATTTGCCTTACCCACGGGAACACTGTAAAACTCAAGCCAAGTTTACCCTACTGACTGTAATAACGGAATATCCATCTGCAGCTTCAATGAAGTTCAGATACATGGGCAAATTGCAACACAGTGATGTATACATTGAAGAAATAAGTAGATAGATAATAGAATGGAACTGGTGAAGTGAAGATAAAATCTGCTTCACATTGCCACCACAGATACAAATGCCTCTAAGAACTAGTGGAACCATCTGCGACTCACATTTATTTGGATCAATTTCCCCTCAATGACCAAATCTTTGTTGAATTTCATAAAGAGGACATGGGACTTTCTTCAGTTGAAAAGCACATTACAATCAAGTTTAACATTACTTTAAATATTTCTTTACTTTTCATTTACCATTGATCATATCAGAAGACAAAATCAAAAACAAAAGTCCCAACAAATGCTGCCAAAACATGTTTTTGTGTAGCTTAGCTTAAAAAATTTTGTTTCTGTGAAGGGAAAAATGTTATTTTTCTGGCTTGCCATCAACTCTGTACCTAAATAGCAAGATATGCTGTGGAAAAGGCAATAAGGTTTGAGGAAGCTTTTCACAAATTTTCTTATTTATTTTTAGTATTCTTAAAAATATCATCTTTTTTTTTCTGGAACTGTAATTGCAAGAACAAAATATATGATGGTAGCTCAATTTAGAACAGGTTTGGTGACTAAATTTTGGGGAGTGATTCTGAACATATGTGATAAGCATGAGATCTAGATTATCTGTACATAACAGTTTTGGGACTGAATTTGGACCTAAGTGAATCCTCATGCTCCTCAATAAGGAAGATAATGGCATCATTCAAGTTATCCCTCTCCTTACCTCCCAAATCCCATTTTTTAATGAAAAGACATGAGCACCATCAATGAAGAAAAGTTATTAATGATTTAATGCTTTATAGATGAACAGAAATCAATCCTGAAATCAAATAATATGCAATTACTGGAGGAAAATACAGACTAATCACAGAACATGTATATAGTTTTAATAATGAAAATGAAATGTGTTGACCTCCCCACTTTTTTGGCCCTGGTCTGTGCTTTACAATTCTGAAGACAAGTCTTACCCAGGTTACTGGAGAGAGGTAGATGAAAAATGATGTGACCTAGAAACTACCCAAGTTTGCTCTCTGTATCACCATCCACAGTTGCTTATTGCCAGCTTTCTATGCCTTCACATATTTCCAATCCGTATGTCCTTTAGAAGGCAAGAAGTCCTCAAGAAGAGCTAACTAGGATTAATCTGCTGTTTGTTACATCTGCAAGGAGAGACTAATCCAAGTTGACACAATCCTCAGCCATGGAGTATGGTTTTACCTCCCTTGGTGGCACTAAACGGATGAGCTATTACAGTGGCAAAGGTAATCTGATCTGAAGAATCATTCTACAGGATATGATTTCTGAAATACCACTAACACTGGAGCAAATCCCGTCGGAGCATGCACATTGAATGCAACTGGAGTTGAAGACAAAGTGTCATAGATAAAGTACATTTTTAGAGGACAGAAACAATATACCAGGAATATCAAAGCCGAAAGGGGAAAATCTGCAGGTTTTCAATACAAGGGCACATTTCAGATACAGGGTCAAGAGGCTAGAGTGGGTGTTTCTATCGAAACTTTGGAAGTGCCTAATTTCTACTCAAACTTTAGCTAACATCATCATGTGTCTTATTTGGGACAATGCATTTATCAAAGCTCTAAGTATAGGTGGGGGTGGAATGGAAGGGAAGGGGGCATAACAAATAAACAACACTAGGGCCACTAAAATTCTAGGACTACCCAACTGGAATTAAGACACAGACTGAGTTCACTTTATAGTGCCACCATAAATCAAGGTCTAAAGGAAGGGAAGCTGGCTAGCAGGGGTGAAGTGGGGTGGAAGGGTATTACTTCTACCTTAGGGGGTGGAATAGCGTCTCAGATGGTAGCTGTAGATCTTGATACAATGATCCCAACAATCCAAGACCAGCAGCTGCCCCTTAGGTGTGAGGGCAATGCCCACGGGACATATGAGCCCCTCTCGAATCAGGACACTAAAGCCCCCACCCTTAGGAAAATGGAGAATTTCTTTGCGACTGCTGTCAGCCACAATGAGGTCACCACGAGCATCCACACACATGCCAGCAATGCAGCGGAAGTCCTCATTCTCCGAGAAGAAGTGGCTAATCTGGCGACCCAGCTGGCCATCAGGACCCACAGAGCCGATGGAGAAGCCACCCTCCAGATGGTGTTCATTCTGCCGATTCTCAAGATTGAGGCCCAAGCCCTGGGTGAAGTAGACGGTTCCTTCAGCGTCACAGGTGACAAACTTGGGCCGCACAGCACTGCACAAGCAGCTGTATTTGACCACGCCTGCTGCTCGGTCAACAGTGAAACACCAAAGCTTTCCCCCTTCTACATCAGTTACCACAAACTGGCCAGATGGCAGAGCTGTGATACCCCATGGCTTGCTCAGCTGGCTTCTGTGACAGGCCACACAGTGGCCATCCAAGGTATACACCTTGAGGGAGTTGTCATAGCTGTCAGTTACACCGATCAGCCCATGGCAGTTCATGGCCACAGAGAGAGGAGTGAGATTGGGCAAATCAGCCCCAAGGAAGCTTAGCACAAAGCCATCGATGCCACTGGGGCTGCGGCGGATCTCCTTCAAAAAGCCTTTGCGAGTGAAGACTTGTATGCGGTAGTTACCACGGTCTGCAACCAGCACCTCACCTTGACTGGTCACATATAGGCTCACTGGAAGATTGAACATGCCTGGAGTGCTGCCTTTGGCCCCCATCTTCTTGAGAAAGAGACACTGCTGGATGTTGGCAGCGGTCTCAGGACCCCGGGTTTTAGCAGGAGAGGCCTTAGGGCTGCCAACCATTTCCTCAGGGCTCATGTCCATCTCTCTAAATGTAACGGAAGTAGAGGCAGCAGAAGCTGCAGCCTCCATGGCCCAGGAGTCTTCCATGTTAACCGTTCGGGGCTTCTTCACTGCCTGCCCGATTTGGAGGGGGCCAACATGTCCCACTTTCAGGAGCTCCACATCTTGCAGGGTGAGCTCCCGGGGCAAGCTGGCAGTGAGCTCGGGCTCTTCCTCATCAGCTGTCTCCTCCAGGAGTGCCACGTCTGCCTGCTTGATCTTGGCCAGGAAGTAGTCACAGCGGGACACTGCCTGTACCTCTGCAATGTTAAGTAGGTAACTCTGTTCTTCTACCACTTGGGTATTGGACTTCTCAACTTCAGCCAAAGAGCCAGTGAAAAACTTCCGGGAGCGGGCCAGCTCATCCTGGACCCGACGTTCCTCATGCCCATACTCCTGGAGAACAGCTTTATATCTTGCCTGTAGGTCTTTGGACACACCTTCTAAGGCTACTTTCCGCCGCTGCAGCTCTTCCATGAGCTCCCGCAGACGGGCTAACTTCTCTCCAAAGTCTCTACGGCGCTCTTCAGCTGCCTCTTTGACAGGAAGTGTACTGTGGCCAGGGGGTTGGTGGTCTGCTTCCCGGCAGGGCTCACACAACACCAAGCCACAGCTCCGGCAAAACTGCCGGGGCAGCCGCCGCCCACACGCCCGGCACATGAGCAGCCCCACAGCCTCGCTGAGCCCAGCTGTGTCTATGATCTTCAGCACTGTTAGGTTGTCCGTCAGCTGGCTCAGGCTGGTTATGCGGGTAATCTTGCTGCAAAAGGGGCAGCGGACACCATTGATGCTGCTGGCCAGGAGCTTCTCCAGGCACTGGCGGCAGATGGTATGGCCGCAGTGCAGGAGCTTAGGCCGGAGCTGCTCTTCTGTGAAGGACTCCATGCAAATCGGGCATTCCAGCACTTCCCGAAGGGCATCCAGGTTCAAGTGAGAAGCCGCTGCTGCCGCCATCATTCCTGCTTGGAAGAGTCCTGCTAGCACAGCACGGCACTGGGCAGCTCAGTATTCATGCCATAGAAAGTGAACTCCTGCCAGAGAGAGAAAAGAAACCAGGATTTATTTCCTATTGCATATACAGATTAATTCACTCAAGAAACACCTGAATGACAGTTATGAACATTAATTCAGTTATCCAACAAATATCGAGATATACTCTGTGTAAAGTGATAGTGACAAACAACAACAAAAAACAGACCACGTACTGCTTAGCAGATAAGTATCACAAAGGAAAACCAACGTATTGCTTACAAAATAATACAACACGTATCTGTAAAACAGAAATAATAATGTCTGCTTTTTATAAATACTATGTATAAGGTATATTTATAGCTTCTTAAAGGTGAAATAACAGGATAAATATAATGAACTTAGTACCTAGCTAGTACTGTATTTGGTAAAAGTAAGTGATGACTTTTACAGTTTGTGAAGTTTAAAATTCATAATGGATATTAGCAGGACAGCACAGAAGAAATTATATGTACCAGAATTTATAACATGGAAGTCATGCAACGTTTTGCAGGAGTATAGTGGTTAGGAAAAGGGAATCTACCTAGAGGAACAGGGAAGACTTCCCAGAAGTCCTGCCATTCCTAAGGGTTACCTTAAGGAAGTAAGAGATAAGGAACATTTTTAGCAAAGAAAATCGTGTGAGCAGAGTTGAGCCTTTTTTTTTTTTAAATCATCATGTCAGAGTTTATTGTGCTAAGTTTAGGGGAGGCTTAGAAATTAGCCTGTGAAAGAAAAATATTTTAATTACTAGTTTTATATGATCTATAAAACATGAGATCAGAAAATAGGCATTTTTCATTCATCCAGTCACCTATTCACCTATTCATCCATCTCAGTCTTGGTATCATGGACCACATTAGATTCTAAGAATGATTCAGAGTACAGGGTACATTTGTCCTTCTGATGCTCATTCCAAGAAAGTAAAGACAGATAGGGCAATAATCCAGACAAAAAGCTGTATAGTACATGAGACAGAAACTAAATTTGATGGAGGTTAAGATGGATTGAAAAGAAAAGAGAATTTTCAGAGGAAGGATGGGACTTGCAGTGGGCCTGGAGGGATGCACAGACACATATCTGTGTCTGTGTCTGTGTCTGCAGAGGTGTGCAAAGGGAGTACCAGAAAAAGGAGACATTCTTAGTCAAAGTTAGCAAGCAAAGTAAAAGACAGGAAGTCTTAGGCATTGGAAAGAGAACAGAATATATACGCTATATTCTATTTCCCTCATCCACAAAATGAGAATACTACCTTCACAGGATCAACATAGAAATCATATACATGCAGGATATGGAATGCTCAGGTTTTACTCTGTGCAGATGGTCTTAAATTAATTTCAGTTCTCTCTCTTTCTCTCTATTAAGTTAAAACTGAGGGAGAGTTTAAGGGAAGTAAAATGTTTGGGAAGGGAAATCAGATAGGAAATGATTATAAAAGGTCTTCAGGACCAAAATGAACTTCATTTTGAAGGGCACAGTAAGGCAATGAATGGTTTGGAGTGGGGAACTGATAATAATTAGAGTTGGACTTGAAGAAGGGTGAAAAATCAAGAGAAATTAGTTTGGAAGCTATAGGAAATTAGCCTGGGAGAGGTAATAAGGAGTCTAAATTATAGAGCAGGCGGTGGGAATGAAAAGATCCATTTGACTAAAAACTAGTTGAGTGGATTATGATGTGGGAATGAATGATGAAGAGCTAAGAAGGCCAAACTCAAGCCTCCAGAGATTTAAAACAAAGTTCTTTATCATTGGAGTTTCTTTATGGCCAGGAATATTCAATACTTACAAGCACGTGCCTCAATACACAGAGATGTCAGTGCTGTGCAACCTTCATGTCACTGTCACCTTATGCACCGATTAGAACAGGTACAACAAGGTGAACTGCATGAATGCTGCATTTCTTAAGGTATATCCCTCGCCTGCAGCTGTACAGTCTCATGAGCAGGTGACCAGTCAAAAAGGACAAAGGCAGAGAGCCTGGTTTCAAAGACAGTGAGCTGGCCGAGGAGAGGTCTGCCTATATTATCAGCTCTTTTGAGGAGGTTTATAAAGGGGGAGGCAATACAACAGATTCCCACTATATTTCACTTTGGAATGCAATCTGATGCCTGTATAATCTACCTATATTAACTCTAGCTCCCTGAAGCGGCACTTTCTTTTCACAGCTGCCTGCTATGTGCTAGGAATCACAACAGATGCCTTATGTGCTTAATCCCCTTAACCTCATGCACCATGAAGGAGGAACTGTTTATTATTCTACTTCACAGATAAGGAAACTGAAGGTCAGAAAAACTGGCTTAAGGTCACACAGCTCAAACATAGTGAAACTTGCTGCACAGGTCTCTTGGCATCTTTGCTTAACTCAACATGACTTTAAGCTACTTTTTAATTTATTTTCTTTTAAAGTGCAACACTTATTAATAAGCATCCTCACGCCTATGCCCTGGGAAATGCTGCCTGGTAACATGCAGTTCTCAAGGAAGAAGGAACAATAATACAGTTATAAGATTCCACTGCTATAGAATACATTAGATTGATTTACTGGCCGAGTGACCCACTCTCACACGTCAGTCTGGCAACCTGTTATAACTTAAATCCTTGCCTCAGCAAACCAACAAATTACAGCACATCATGAGTCTATTAGTTTTCATGTGAATATATGAAACTATGACTGCCAGTTTCTTACATGCCATGGGTCTCGGTGCAATGGTGTAGAAACCTCAACTCAGGATCCTTGCAAACCTCAATTCTAAACCAACAGCTTCAGTTCCCTCTTTTGTCATCTGGGACAACAGACTGAGGGCAACATTTGGTGTTTGGATCCAGAGTATGTTACCTTATAATGCACAGGAGCATCTGTTCTTCCCAGAGCTGTCATTACAGATTAGCTAATTAAACAAGGCTGCCAACTTGTAAAAATACCAGCAAATTCTTTCCCTGGCTTTCTAGAATATCATACAACCAAAAGCTTCCTGTATCCCTGTCTAAGCTGTCAGCCTTAAGAAATGAATTTTTCTATGCCTACATCTATACCTCAAATTCTCTCAGCTATCTGCAGCTTTACCAGGCTCGGTGATGGTAGGAATTCCTGCACCAAAGCTGCCATGTTTCACCAAGGAAACCTGAGTTCCCACCACTGAAGCGTAAGGCATGTGGACAGCTCAGACCCCGAATGAAGTCAGAACCACTTCCATCGCACTGCTTTTACAAGGACCATAGTCTGAAATGGAGTTAAGAGACAAGCAAATACAGCCTCACCTCTCTCCCCCAGAAGTACGTCTCAGATCATTACTGGTAACATTAAAGGGAGAGTCAATTTGGCCTCCATCACCCTGCAACGACTACATAGGTGATGTAAAATGCCTTGTCATCTCACTCTGTTAAGTAAGCCGCGCATTTATTTTACAAGCTATAAAATATGCAACCAGATAGGATGAACTCCTGACATGTGATTTATAACCTTGACTGCTTTCATGATCCCTGGGATGCATGTTTCTTGCTATGACATTCATACTGTCAGTTCTACCTCCAAGCTCACTCCAGTTTTCTGCACTTCCCTCACCCCTTTGGTATAATGATTGATACATCCATCTCATATTGACACAAGTACTTCTCTTCAAACCAAGATGAAAATCTGTCCTATTCTATCACTACCTAAAACTGTGGAAAATTCTATCATTATATTCCTCTTCTTGCCTTTTCTGGCAGTGCTAGTTCCAGAAAATGATGAGGGTAGTATAAAAAAGATTACAAAATAGATGTTAGAAAGTCAGAACGAGGCTCAAGTCTTAGCACTGCAATTTACAAGTTGTGGAATAGGAAGTTAAGTCATTTAATCTCTCTAAACCTGTTTCCCTGCTTTATGAGAAGACTGCTGTGATGACTAGTGATAAAGAACTTACGGTGAAACTGGTTGGTGTACAGAGAAAGGATGTCATGTGCCATAATTTGAACAACTGGAGCATGGCTAAGAATACCAATACTTAGCACTATCATGAATGAAGCATTTGGTCTATGAACTAAATATTGAACAAAGAACCGTTCCTCCTATGGCTTACAAAAATACACCAAAAGAGGGGTCTGTTTTGTAGGGACTGGATTGAGAATGCAGGCTATGAGAGTAGGAGCATGTGAGCAAATAAACCACAGCTTCCTTGGCCAGAAAATAAACTGATGCAGCCTCTTGCATGGAGTTTAAATGTGGAAGGCAAAGAGCAAAACAGATGAGGAGCCTGTGAGCAGGAACAGGACATTATGATCTGGTCCTGAAAGGCAGGCAGCCCGCAGTAAGCAGTATTATGTAGATTAAGGAAGTAGGCTCTGGAATCAGGTCTTCTGGATTTAAACCCCAGTTAGATCACTCAGTATGGAGCCCTGGGTAAGTTACTTCTCTTGTTCTCTCACTAGCTATGAAAGAGTTCTTTAAAAATAGTACCTTCCTCATAAGGTTACTATGAAGACAAAATGATATTTTATGTGTAAAGCGCTTAGTACAGTTTACCGAGTAGAAAATAATTGCTTTTATTATTAATTAGCAGGAATAACAGTATCAGCAGCAGCTACTGCCAGCACCACTCGGCCTGTAAGAAGGAATGAATAGGTACTTTTCAATAGGCAGACTGAGTAATGCATTAGCTACATAGATTTAAGTAACAGAAATTTTGAGTCTTCCTAGAGATTTGTTTGACTAAATCTCAGAATCAAAACCCAGGAGATGACCCAATGTTTCAAATCTTCATCCAATGCTTCAGACTCCACTAAGGGGAAGTTCACTTCATGTCTCTACTGCCTAAACCTATTTCAGTGCTTTGGGTCATGAGCAAAACTGGAGAAGTCTGAGCAATTAATTAATTAAACAGTCCTTCCAGTACCTACAATGAGTCTCATCCTGTGGAAGACCCGAGGGATGTAAGTTTGAGCAAAAATAGACATGAGCAGTTTTCACCCTTAAGAATAGAGAACAAGTTAAAAAATAGTATTTCCTTTCATAAGCCCATCTGATTATTGGCACCCTCCTCTAGCTTCGTTTTTTTTTTTTTCTTTTGCAGTTTATAACATTTCCGTTCATATAATACTAATCAAATGCAAACTTAATGCTGCCAGGGGTCATGCTCCAGGAAGTTGTGGGGTCACTAAGTCCTATGTGTGGAAGAGATTCTGAAAAAGCTTACATTGCTCAAGGCATTTATGGCACCTGTGGATGGCTGACAAACTCAACAAGCAGAGACTTTCAGGGAGACACAGCACGCTCCTACAGCTGTACCAGTCTGAGACTCATAAAACGATCCCGAAAGGAAATAAGTTTGTGGCAAGAGAAACTAGCTAAAATATTTCAAGGACGGGTTAAATCAGTAATATGGTTTGCCACGGTACAGAGGCGTCATGCTGTGCACTGTTCTAAAATTTCAGGGCTTAGACAGGTCCTTCTGCATCTTTTATAAAGGTGTGATATCTCTGCTGCCGGTATAACTCAAACAATGTCCACATAAGACAAAGGAAAAATCCATGTTTTCTCAGGAGACCTTCAGCTCCTCTCAACCTGTTCAGCTCTGTTTCTTTCTCTGCATAGAACACATGTGCATTTAATCACAATCTTTTGACTAACAGATAAGGAATCAGATGCTGAGAAAAGTACAAGAGGGAACAGGAATTTAGGGAAGGCTGGCAGAGACTGCTTATGGTCATCCAAATCTTGCATAACAACACCCATTTCCATTACAGCATTGCCTTACTTTCATTATTGCTTTTTCTCATGAAGCAACTATTACATTGTTAAGTATGTTTTTACATTATTTTGTCCTCATAGTAAATACGAGACATGCATGTTATTCCTTGTTACACATATGGAAACCAGCGTTCAGAGAAGAGTAATATGGCCAAGGTATCAAACCAAGTAACAACAACCGGGATTCAGTGTTGATGTGTAGACTCCCAGCAACAGAACAGCACTGCCACAATAGATGTGCTACAGTTTCCTGATCAGACTACACTGCATCTAGTCGTAGTTTGGCCTAGATACTGACCAAGGTATTTCTTTTTAGCAAGAAGTAATTTTTGAATCTGATGATTGTATTTTAAGACATAATGGAGAGCAGATTACAAAGGCCATACATCAGTGTGCGTGAAAATGATAAACTTCAAGAGACGCAGAAACTTTTGCTTCCAGCTACTCTCAACACAGAGATGTTACAGAAACCATTCTAATAAAACTAATATAATGTAATTTGGAAGCCAGATACAACTGAGTTTACATTCCTGCCTTGTGCTAGCCTTGGGTGTTATTTAATCAATTATTTTTCTTATCTTTAAGCAGGGAACTATTCCATATCATTGTCATAACCGCTGGTAGGAACACCTGGGTTAATACACATAAGAAGCCAGTAACTGGTAGTTATTCTTATTAATTTTTAAATTATTACTTGAGAGACAGGAAGAAAGAGCAAGACAGCTCCCATACACTGGTTCACTCCCCAAATGGCCACAATGGAAGAGGCGGTGCTGGTTTGGGGTCTGGCAGCTGGGAACTCAATTCGGGTTTGCCACCTGCTTGAGCCATCATGTCCTGCTTTCCAGAGTGTGCATAAGCAAGAAGCTGGTCTAAAGGCAAATCAAACACAAAGTCCACAGCTCCTCCCTAACTAGACAGGGAGATTTTAACCCCCTATCACCACAACCCTGCCTTTAAAATCCAATTTGATACATAGTGTATTCACTGGACAATCCTCCTTTTTGGAGGCGGGGAATGGGCCAATAAGACTAAGCAGGCCCCAAGCAAGGAAGAAGCAAGGAAAGAGAAAATAAATAGCTACACAGATATCTGGATATGAATTTAACCTATGTCCATTCTAGTTACAGAACCTTACATGAGCCACTTCTTAAATTTTATTCTTCAGATATAAAGCTGGCAGAACTGTTTCATAACAACTGTTAGGCAACTGAGAAAGAAAAAATCTACGCAAAGTGAATATGACTTAGTTCTGAGAACTTACGATACACTTCATACTATGCATACCATCACTGCATCCTCAATAATCCTATGACACAGGTCTTTTCCTCGTTTTATAGATCAAGAGACAAGGCACTAGTAGGTTAAAGGTATTCATTCACTCAAGACCACACAGTCAGAAAGATACACAGCCAGGCTTTGAACCCACAACCCTTGACTTTAGACGCTTAGTTTTGGCACTACTGACATTTTGGCCTGGATAACTGGTGGGGTCTGTCATCCACTGTGAGATGTCAACAGCACCCCCAGTGTCTGGCCATCACAGACTAAGTATGCTTCCCATCCCAGCTGTGATGCCCCAAAATGTTTTCAAACATTGCCAGATATACCCTGAGGGGACAAAACTGCCCCTTAGTAACAGCCACATCTTTTAGAATCTAGCAAAGGACTAAATGCTCAGTATAAAAGGTTTTTTATTGCCTGTCTCTCAGTCCAAATAACTCATTTTCAGATCTACTCTGTTCAAGCTATAATGGACTTTACAATGGATGAATTCCACTCACTGTCCTGGAGGTCACATAGTATCATTCACAGCTTTCAGATCATCTGCTCCATCACCCCTTTGGCCACTCTCTGCTTCCCCTTGTCAATTTCAGCAGTTTAAAGAGGAGTTAGTGGTAGTACCACACTTGCTTCATTAGAAATCTTTGGTTAATAAGTGAAAAATAACTTCCCCTCACAAGAAGAGCCAAACACCTTCCTGACCTATGGGGTTATGATATTGTTCCTGAACTTCATTCATTTGTATAGTTTCAGAGATTCCTTGTAGATTCTCAGGGTCCCCAGAACCCCCACTACTTCCCAGGCAGAAGAAAAATCCTTTAGCAAAAGTCCTTGTGGAAAAATCCGTTAGCAGCCCAAGACACCAGCTCACAAATCTATGCATTGTCTTTTATTTTTATAGTTGTTATGACACCCCCTGCTTTCCACCCTTCCCCCCCTTCAATCCTCTTAAAACCCTGTCCCCAACCACTTACAAATACAGAATTCTAACCTCTTGGATTCTGTATTGCAACCGTCACCAGTTCCTCACTCATGCGCCCCAAATCCCTCTGACAGTCTTTAATCCATATTGCCAAATCTCCACCGCCTTCAGCCCTGCGTGCCGGCTCAAGACCCCAATCCTGCACCCCTGATTCCTGTTCTCTCTCCTTCTGCCTCCCCTCTCCTGCATTCCACCAGGCACCGCGCAGACCTGAAACCCTGCACATCGACTCCAATCTTAGCCTACTCCCTTCCATTTGCTAACAAGACATTACTTCCTACTGATTGTCCTCAACAAGTCAACCCTTCCATTTCCCCAGTCTGTAAATTCCTTTCTCTTTAGCAGTTAGGTTTGCTCGTTCTAGCCTTAGATTTTGACCCTCGCCCGATTCTCTCAAATCGCCTGAGATTCTGCATTGCCCCCACCAAAATCTCACCGGGGTCCCGATTCCTCTCGGTTTCAGTAAATCTGCACCGAGACACCCCACCCCCCATCAGATTCCCTCCCATCACCCAGACATTGCACTCCGTGTCTCCTCAAGGGTCCACATTACCTCATACCTCCCGAGATGCTGCAACTGCGAATCTTCTCAGCCCCTGGCTCCCCTCCCCCAGCTGCATCTCCTCAGCCCCATCCGACACCTCCCTCCCCAGGCCCACCCCCACGCAACTTCTGCCTTCCGATCCCGGCCCCACACCCCGCCAGTCGCCCGTGGGCCTCCTCCGCGGCCGCCCAGCCACCGCCCGCGCCTCGGACGACGAGCCCTGCCCTCCCCTGCCCGCCCCCTACCTGACCGCCCGGCCTCCGACGCGTCCACCGCCGCCAGCCCACCCGCCCGCCTGCCTCTGCGCACGCGCGCTACGCGCTCCGCTTGTGAGGCACCAATTCGCAGCGTAACCTGTCGGTCATTTCTCCCCGCCCCCCTGCGGCATGCTGGGATTTGTAGTTCATCCCTTCCAAATGCTGGGGCCCAATGCAGCCGCGGTGGCGGCTTTTTACAGAGGAACCTCCGGCCTTGGCGACTCAAAATAATTCTCTGGTCCACTTGTATGGATCAAGAAACTGAGGCCCGTAGGTGAAAGGTGTCTGTCCAAATTCATTCAACGAGACTGAAGCTAACTCCAATCTCAATGTCTAAAACTGTACACGAAACTGTGTGAGTGGTCCCTCCCAAAGCCTTCACGCTTTTCAGGAAGGCTTTCTGAACCTCAGCTTCCCCATCTGAGAAATGGACAAAGGAAGACTGAAAGGCCCATTCTGCTCACGCGCTGAAACCGCCCACGTGGAAGGGCAGCTCCTTTGCCAAGCCTGTGACACACCGTGTGCTGCAGGTGGGTTGACCGGAGATGATCCTGTGTGTGCTCCAGAGGCCAACAGCACAGGCAGGTAAGAGGAGAAGTCCCTGCAGCTCCTGTCCCAGCTGGTTGAAGCTATCTAGGAGCCCCAAATCGAGCCTAGCTTTAATAGCTGGCTGGCCAGGACCTGTGCCCCTGAGGTCACAAGTTCAGGAGCACTGAGGAATTTGAAAAAAGGCAGGCTTGTGTTTGAAATTCCACTTAGCTGTGCTGTCACGCACAAATGACAAAGCAGCAAACGAACAGTGGTGCCCAAACATGAGCTTGTTGTGTAGTGGCTGCTAAGCACTCCACACAACATTTGATACTCGATAAGACCCTAGGAGCTAAGCGGTTGGTGCCTAGGTGATTAAATATCAAAGCCACTTGTTCCTGAATGTCAGAACCCAGAATTGAATCCACCCTCTTTGTTCTATATGATGTGTTTATTTATTTATTTATAAATATCTAGAGGGACAGAGAGAGCTTCCCTCTGCTGGGTCACATTCTTGATGGCGGTGGTCCAAGCCAGGAGCCCAGCACTCAGGGGCTCTGATGTGGGTGGGAAGGGCTCACGTACTTGAGAGATTTTTTCCAGGCACAATGGAGAGGCCTGGATCAGAAGTGACGTAGCCAGCAGTCAGACCAAGACTTTGATACAAGAGGCTAGCACTGTGTACAGTGCGCAGTAATGCTCCCTGAGAATCCATCTTTTAAGGCTTCTGTAACTGTTCTGCTCCTATCTTTAAATAAAAATGAGATTTGCTGCAAGGATGAACAGATTAAGAAATGACCTATACCTAATAAATGGAATGAAGTTATATTGAATTGTTATACCTTCAGGACCAACCACAGGCTCCGTAATCCCTTGCTGTAGAATTTCAGATAATAAGGACAGTAAGAAGCTAGGCTGTCATTCTCCATAGCATCCTTTGAACAGGCCCGGAAGCTCTGTACTCCTAGGTTGACATCGGCTTTGGGGCTGAGACATGCAGAGTTTCAGCAGCCAGGTCAGGAATATTTTCATTCAAACCTGGAGAAGGGGTTGCAGTTGATTTTTCTCAAGGCTGGCACCTGATTGCTACAGATCCTCCAGTAATAGGGAAGAGAAAATGCTTGCTTCTGTTATCTTCTCGGGCTCTGCATTCTTGGGTAACTTTGTTCACTGCATGAGATCTTGGAAAAGGATGATTTCCCACAAAGCACATACCAGCTTGGACTTTAATTTATCCACTCACCTGTCATCTTTACCCGTGGGCTGTGATCTTGAAGGGCAATGCATGTTTGCAGTCACATCTGTTAGCTTAGTGCATAACGCTGCTGATAAGTCATACTGAGAAATGTGACCTTAGGCAAATCATATTCCTTGTTTCACCTGCAGTGACTCTAGTTGAAAACAAATCAGTGGAGTCATTCAGGCAAGTGCTGCTTAGTTTTTAAGCACCAGACACTCACTGAGATTGTCGTGTGTCTCAATCCCCCAACAGTCCTTTCAGTAGATTTAAGTAGTTCCATGTTACGAGAGGAGGCAACTGAGGCTCAGAAAGATTAGTCTGCTGATTAATGCCGCCTGGAAAGTGGTGGAGCTTTGTGCAAACCTGGGCCGGTCTGAGACATGTTTCAAAGCACCTGTAAGGACTGTCCACATGTCATGACACCAATAGTCTGTTTTATTGACTAAAGTTTTTTTATGAAATTTCTGGGAAAAAAGGATAGCAGTGGTTTGAAAATTAAGGAATACATGGCAAATCCTGCCTGTTATTTCTTTTAAAGGTTTATTTGAAAGGTAGCGTGACAGAGGGATATCTTCCATCCACTAATTCATTCCCCAAATGCCCAGAACAGCCAGGTTTGGGCTGGTTCAAGCCGAAGCTATAAGACACTATCTGATCTTCCATGCTCAAGGCAGGAACTCAAGTACCTGGCTCACCATTTGTTGCCTTCCCAGATGCATTAGCAAGAAGTGGGATTGGAAGTACAGTAGCCAAGACTTGATCCTGTGTTCCAATAAATGTGGGTGTTTCAAGCTGCAGTTTAAGGTGTATCACAACACCCTCCATGTGGCTGTTATTGAGCTCCTATGTAATAATCCAGACAAGGCCAACAGTCCCAGAGGAGTTGTTCTAAAGTTATGTTTACAATGTTGGGTACCATCAGTGAGGTTTTTATGATAGAATTCCAGGGATGGGAGATGAAGTGCTCAAATGGTTCTGACTTACTCTGCATTCCCAGACCAAGTGGAAGAAATAACACTCTGTGTGTTGAAAATTACACTTACCAGCCTGAAGTCTCACTTCAAAGTCAGTCTTTGTCTGGTTCTCTCTGTATATATTACATTATATATCTATATGTTCCATGATTTATACATGTGTATTTTTAGTTTATTGCTTTATATTTGTTTGAGAGGTAGAGAGAGAGGTCTTTCCTCTGCTAGTTTACTCCACAAATGCCAAGAATGGCAAGGCCTGGGCAAAGCTGATGCCGAAAGACAGGAACTCAATCCAGGACTCCCATGTGGTTGGTTAATTAAGTCATCGTTGCTACCTGCTAGGTTTGCATACACAGGGAGATAGAATCCGGAGTGGAGCTGGGTCTTGAATCCCAGCACTGTGATTTGAGATGAAAGTGCCTCAGCTGCTATGCTGAGTACTTACCTAAATAGTTGTAAACAAATGTAATTTATATGCATTACTACAGACACCCATGACTGTATATTCATGTTTTCCCAACCTCAGATGAGAGTCAGTGGTACTCTAGAAAATCTAGGAATAGCTCAAGTATGACTTAAGACATTTTTCTTTTTTGCTGCTAAAAAAATAATACGAGGACTTGTTTATATCTTTTTAGTGTTTAAATAACTCACCAATTAAATTAATTACCAGAGTTTCCATAAAATCTCACAGTAAAATAAGTACTCTGGGGAAATGTGTTCATTTCTTTCCTGTAGCTTTGCCTAGCCTGGCACAATATTAACACTCCTCTTATAAAGAGATATTTCCAAATACTCTTTGTGGAGTACTTTAAATACTCTGTATTCAGCATTTTAATATAATAGTTTTTCATTTAAGATTCAGACCACTTACAGTGGTTTCCTAGGGCTGCTGTTATAAAGCACCAAACAAAGAAAGTGGCTGAAGTGCAGTCCTGGATATTTTAAGTTGGGACTCAAGGTGTATGATGGACAATTCTCTGTTTCTGAAGTTTCTGGAAAGATATTCCCTTAACTTTTTCGGCTTCTAGAAGTTACACAGCCTTTACTTGTTTTGTGGCAACATGGTTTTCGTCTCTGCCTTCACTTGACCCTCTTCTCCATGTATGTCTCTGCCTTGCTGTGGCATTATGCTCTGTGTTTGTGTCTGTGCCTTCTTATAAAGACACAAAGGCCTGTCCTGGCTGTATCTGCAGCAAACCTATTTTCAAATAAGATCACAATCTGATGTATTGAGAGTTAGGTCTTCAGGTTATCTTTTGTGGTAAACAATTTGACTAATAGCACCTCCTTTTGAGCCAAATATTGTTTTCTTTATTTAAAAAATCTCTTTCATTCTGTTTTTTAAAAAATTGTTTATTTGCCTTATTTTCAAAGGTCATAAACAAATACAAAGTTTTTATTTGCTGGTTCTCCCTCCAAGTGCCTACTGTAACCAGGGCTGGATGAGGCCAATGCTGGGATCCTGAAACCACTCCTGGTATCCCATAAAGGCAAGCAAAAACTCAAATATTGAAACCATCAGCTGCTGCCTCCCAGAGTGTGCACTGAAAGCTGAAATTGGAACTAGGACCAAGACATCCCAGACACTCCATGATGATACAGAGGCATCCTACATGTTTGTACCCAATATCACCTCTTTATTCTATTTAAAACAGAAGCAGCAATAGACAGCTTGAAGGGTTGTGGGAGACAAAATGAGATGCTAGATATAAAACATTTTGCATAATATGTAATAATAACACTTGGTCTGGCATGTAGTAATGTTCATTATATTGTATTTGTTATTACTGTGATTTAATTTTTCATTATACCTCTTTTAGAAAACACAAGAGCTTTGGAATCAAAACTCTGAGTATCTTGGGGAAATAGAAGCAGTGATTTGCTATAGCCAGCTGTAGACAGCTGCCTAAGTTGCATGTTTTACACTTGCCTAGGAACAATGAAAAGCAGGCAACAGTTGGTGGGCATTCAGGGCCTGGTTAATGCTACATTTGTGTTAACCATACCAGTATGCCAGCGTAGTTGCCTCTTTTTTTTAAGTGGCCAATGAAGCCACTGCACTTGCAGGTAAATGAGGAGGGCTGAGACCAGATGGTTTGAAGGAGAGAAATTGGAGGACCTTTCTGCGTCAGACCAATGTACACACTCATGTAGGATACCTGAGCTGCACATGGGATACCTGAGCTGGGTTACTTAGCATTGACCAGCACCCAGCAATACACATGAAGGATGGAGCTGGAACCCTGCCTGGGAGGGCTAGTCCACAGTACCCGCTAGTGA